TCCACCAGTGAGCTCAAGTGATATGCTCGGCCTTCAAAATGAAAGGTACGTGAAATTAAGTGGGAGTCAAGGTAAGTAAACTTCAGTTTTGTGTTTGTGTATTTTTATTGTTTAGCGCAGTGCTTTGGGAATAATGTCATCTCATTAATTTATTCATTTAGATTGAATAAAATAATTTCAAAACGAAATATAAAGTGTCTCGACTTACAAAGGGCTTGTCAGAACCCATTGCAGTTCCAAGTTGTATTCCATTTTTTCCCAATCAAGTTTTTCATTTGGGATCTGTTTTGAAAGCTGGGGCAGTGTAGAATGTAAAACAGGTGATCAACTCAACGCCGTTTTGGTTATGTAGCAATAGGAGAACGTTGATTTGTTTTTGTTTTCAACTGGAGAAAAATGAGAAAACCGGCGTCTTCGTTCATTCTAAACTGTGGAAAACATTGCCACCTAGTGGCGAGAAAGTGCAATTGCTGTTTCGCGTGTGAAATCGGTGTGCTTTTGTGTCAGCGAATGAAAGGCCAGATAGGCCACCCGTTTCGATTGTGGGGGTGTTTGTGGGAGTAAAGGGTGTTGGGTGAATTCCACGATGGGATAGCATGTCCTACCTGGCACTGTTGCGCCGTACGCATCCTCCGTCCCCCTCCGAGGACGAGGAGGCTCGCTGGGACGCGCTCCTCCTCCTCATACGTGCTTTATGTGGTACATTTTCCTGTAAAAAAATGTCATTATCACCATAAATAATCATTCCAATGTAAAAAAAATTCATTTGTAATACTTAATCAAAACTATGATCATATTTGTATTTCATTTTATTCGTATGGGACTGATTTTCAAAAATACTGTTCGCTTCATCCGAGAAAAAAAAATTCAATATCACCATAAATAATCAATCATTCCAATGTAAAAAAAAAAAAAGTTTCATTTGTAATACTTAATCAAAACTATGGTCATATTTGTTTCGTTTTATTCGTATGTGACTGATTTTCAAAAATACTGTTCGCTTCATCCGAGCACACTATGGAAAACATGATAGAGGAGCTCACGAAACAAGCAGTGAACGAATTGGATTACGTGTCGACAGGATTAAGGTGTGCGCTGGTGAAATAGAACACCTAAATGTGGGGCCTCTTAAAGCGTCCTTACTATCCTGTCTGCGTGCTATCCAGCTATCTATCATCATCAATGCTAGTTTCATTAGCCTGTCTATAGTACATTGCATTGTGTGTTAGCATTAAGCTAGTTCACGGTCCTGAGGGCAAGTCATGTGTCGGTTCTCTGTCCAAGGCTTAGAATATGAATTTTGCCCTCAAGACGAAAAATTGATTGTGATGGTTTGTGTTTGGATGAAAATTTGAAAAAAATAAATAAATAAAACTCGCCTTGTCATCATTGCATCCATATGGATCTTGGCCTGTCGGGTGGAGAGCGATATTTGTTAGAAAAGCCTTTCTTTAATAGCCCCATTGAATCATCGTTCCTCACTTGTTTCCTTCCTTCCTTTCATAACATTCTTGTTTCAATGCGTCTTTCTGAGCACCCTCATCCAAGTACCCTTCATCCTCATTTCCTTACCTTCTTTCATACTCTAATTTCCCCTCTTCCCCACATCCTTGTCTTCATCCTTCCTTGCATGCAATTTCTGTTCCCTACCTTCCCTCCAAGATCCCTTTATCGAACCTTGTACCCTTCCTTCCTCATTTGTTACTTTTCATGTTACCTCGTTTCCTTGCTTCCTATCCTTGTCCCATTCCTCCCATTCTATAGACGACCCTTGTTTCCTTTCAAACCTCCTTTAAATAATTTTATGGAAAGACTTAATACCCCTTTTTGTCTCACCCAACATACTATAGGCACATAAATTTGTCCTCTACTCACCAACAATCTCCCCTCCCATCCTAACTTCAATCAGCGGTGGTTAACCTAAGGCACACGGGACCAGTTTTGGTCCGATCGTCACTGACCTTGTGGCGCGAACACGGTGGTGAACACCTCCAGGTGCTCGTGGTGGCTGTGCATGTAGATGTGCTGCATCTCCCCGAGGCGGCCGGCGTCGGACTGGCGGCGCGCGAAGAGTGCCGCGTAGCGCAAAATAAAAATAAACGCCGCGCCGCTAATCCATTGCAGCCACTCGACGAGCGACAGAGGGAGCCAGGTTCTTTGCCGAGGCGAGACCAAACACAAAACTTCCGTGCACGCGTTTGAAAATACATTTAGCAACAAAATAAAAAATTTTAAGCTGGGGTTTTTTTTTTTTGTTCGTTTTTCCTGCCAAGTGCGAATTGGTGTGAAGCTCGGGTCATCGTGAACTGAGCTCAGGCCAAAAGGTTTACGTAAGGAAAAGTCACGGTTAAGCGGCTTAGAAAAGCGATCTGATTGATGAGGAGCAATTCTTAGAAGAGCAGGTCATGCCACCTTCATGAATGAGCAGCATTTACTGGAAATAATTCAATGGTTGAAGACTTTCCATCAATTTGGGAACGGAGACAATTTGTCCAATTTTAGCTCCAAAAATTCGTGAATCTGCTGAGGACATTTGTTAATTTATGAAGAATTTAGGTAGGGTTGCGAAAATTCAAAGTGAATTCTCCTAAATTATAAGAAATGACAGTAATGGGAATAAAATGGACATTTGTCCAATTTAAGTTCCAAATTTCCTGAATTTTGCATGGATCATTTCGACAAATTTGTCACAACTTTGAGTGGCGTTGCGAAGTCATGAAATATTTCTTAAAATAGATGAACTAAAGCGGAAAAAAACGTCCTTAATTTGTATTCTCACGAAACTATAAGTTCAGTTGCAAATATTTTGAATGAATAGCTTAGAAAATCCTCACTTCTAGCATGAAAAATTTGGTTGCAAAAATCCTAATTGAAAACTTTTGGGCATATAAGAAATTATAGTACTTAAACTAGACATTTGTCCAATTTTATGTAAAAATTATTTACTTCCCTTAGAAATTTTTTATTAACGCGTTATTTTCATTTTTTTACAAAATGCACTAAGGAGTAGCACCAAATTTCGTTGTATGTAATACAATGACAATAAAGGCGATTCTGATTCAGAAAAAATTTGGACATCTTTATGGTACATATATTTCGGTATGGTTACAAAACTCTGAAATTGAGGATTTTTAAAAAACATTTATTTGCACTCAGACGAATATGACATGAAGTATCCAGGTTTTTTTTTTTCGTTGTGATAATTTACAAGTTCTTGCAGTTCTTCAGTCACCGCTTCCCTGGCTTGGATTTCTTCCCTCCTGAAGGTTTTCCTCGCTGAGGTTTCCCCCCCGCCTTTTTCCCGCGAGCCCCCATTTTTCCTTTCCCCTTGCCGGGCGCCGCGTTATCCCTGCGTCCCTTCCTTCCGGCCTGCTTGCCCCTCTTGCTGTTCCTGGCTGCCGCCTCCTCTCGGTCGTCCTCCCTCATTTGCTTGTTGACCGCTTTGGTGACGTTCAGCTTGGGCCTCTTGCTCTCCATCATTTTGAGGAGCTCCAGTTGCTTGTCCTTCTCCGCGGAGTTGTTACTTTTCATGTTACCTCGTTTCCTTGCTTCCTATCCTTGTCCCATTCCTCCCATTCTATAGACGACCCTTGTTTCCTTTCAAACCTCCTTTAAATAATTTTATGGAAAGACTTAATACCCCTTTTTGTCTCACCCAACATACTATAGGCACATAAATTTGTCCTCTACTCACCAACAATCTCCCCTCCCATCCTAACTTCAATCAGCGGTGGTTAACCTAAGGCACACGGGACCAGTTTTGGTCCGATCGTCACTGACCTTGTGGCGCGAACACGGTGGTGAACACCTCCAGGTGCTCGTGGTGGCTGTGCATGTAGATGTGCTGCATCTCCCCGAGGCGGCCGGCGTCGGACTGGCGGCGCGCGAAGAGTGCCGCGTAGCGCAAAATAAAAATAAACGCCGCGCCGCTAATCCATTGCAGCCACTCGACGAGCGACAGAGGGAGCCAGGTTCTTTGCCGAGGCGAGACCAAACACAAAACTTCCGTGCACGCGTTTGAAAATACATTTAGCAACAAAATAAAAAATTTTAAGCTGGGGTTTTTTTTTTTTGTTCGTTTTTCCTGCCAAGTGCGAATTGGTGTGAAGCTCGGGTCATCGTGAACTGAGCTCAGGCCAAAAGGTTTACGTAAGGAAAAGTCACGGTTAAGCGGCTTAGAAAAGCGATCTGATTGATGAGGAGCAATTCTTAGAAGAGCAGGTCATGCCACCTTCATGAATGAGCAGCATTTACTGGAAATAATTCAACGGTTGAAGACTTTCCATCAATTTGGGAACGGAGACAATTTGTCCAATTTTAGCTCCAAAAATTCGTGAATCTGCTGAGGACATTTGTTAATTTATGAAGAATTTAGGTAGGGTTGCGAAAATTCAAAGTGAATTCTCCTAAATTATAAGAAATGACAGTAATGGGAATAAAATGGACATTTGTCCAATTTAAGTTCCAAATTTCCTGAATTTTGCATGGATCATTTCGACAAATTTGTCACAACTTTGAGTGGCGTTGCGAAGTCATGAAATATTTCTTAAAATAGATGAACTAAAGCGGAAAAAAACGTCCTTAATTTGTATTCTCACGAAACTATAAGTTCAGTTGCAAATATTTTGAATGAATAGCTTAGAAAATCCTCACTTCTAGCATGAAAAATTTGGTTGCAAAAATCCTAATTGAAAACTTTTGGGCATATAAGAAATTATAGTACTTAAACTAGACATTTGTCCAATTTTATGTAAAAATTATTTACTTCCCTTAGAAATTTTTTATTAACGCGTTATTTTCATTTTTTTACAAAATGCACTAAGGAGTAGCACCAAATTTCGTTGTATGTAATACAATGACAATAAAGGCGATTCTGATTCAGAAAAAATTTGGACATCTTTATGGTACATATATTTCGGTATGGTTACAAAACTCTGAAATTGAGGATTTTTAAAAAACATTTATTTGCACTCAGACGAATATGACATGAAGTATCCAGGTTTTTTTTTTTCGTTGTGATAATTTACAAGTTCTTGCAGTTCTTCAGTCACCGCTTCCCTGGCTTGGATTTCTTCCCTCCTGAAGGTTTTCCTCGCTGAGGTTTCCCCCCCGCCTTTTTCCCGCGAGCCCCCATTTTTCCTTTCCCCTTGCCGGGCGCCGCGTTATCCCTGCGTCCCTTCCTTCCGGCCTGCTTGCCCCTCTTGCTGTTCCTGGCTGCCGCCTCCTCTCGGTCGTCCTCCCTCATTTGCTTGTTGACCGCTTTGGTGACGTTCAGCTTGGGCCTCTTGCTCTCCATCATTTTGAGGAGCTCCAGTTGCTTGTCCTTCTCCGCGGAGAAGTCACCTATGACAGGCTGGAACTTGCGCCTCTTGCCTAGTAGGGTGAAAAGAAAGTGGACGATTTATGATCGATCTCCATAGCAATTAAAAATGATTGAATTTAGCATAGCAGCTTGCATGCAAAAAACTAACCAGTGCCCTTGGCTGGTTTCTCCTTTGGGAGCCTCTCCTGGAACTTCCCTACGGAAGCGGTGGAGGTCCGCGCCACGCTAGCCGCTCGAACCAGGTCATCTTTGGACTGACGGGACACGGGAGTCAGGCCCATGCCGGGGACCTTGAGCTTCTGCGCCCGGGCGATGTTCCGCAGCCGGTTCAGCTCGTTCTTGGCCACACGCTCCTTTTTGGCAGTGATCCGCTTGACGAACTGGTCCTCATTGGGGTCGGCGGTCTGCGGCACCTCGATGAGCCACTCGTTGGTGTTATCTTTAGCCCGCTTGTATCCCCACCGCCGCCGCCACTCTTTGGCAGTCTCGTCCCACACCAGGTTAGTCTTCTTCTTCTTTTGGATGCCCTTCAGCTTGGCAAACTGCTCCCACTATGGAGGGAAGGATTACAGAGTCAAGGAAAATGAACCAAAAAAGGAAAACTACAATTGTAACAGAATAGTTTGCTAGCCAACTAGCTCCCTTTATTTCCAACCACTTTAGCGAATGTAATGAAACATTTTATTATCATTATTATTGCGAATATATACCCCAAACCCGAATAAAACCAACTGAATTTGTAAAACCAAAATTTGAAAACAAAGTAAAGTGGACCACCGCTATTTGCCAGGGGTCGAGACCGCGACTGCCGAACTACGATATATTGTAAAACCAAAAACCTCGAACCTTGGTCGGAGGCCGGGGCCTGGGCGGGGGCTTCTCCCGAGGTAAGGGGGTGGTCGGCTCGGGTAGCTTGGCCACCACGGCCTCCTGGATCCTTTCCGTGGGGAGCTTCCACAGCTCGTTGATGAGAAGCTGCGTGTTATCGCGGGCCAGGGAGCGTAGAAAGTCGTGCTTCTCCTCCCCGGTAAAGTCGCGAGTCTCCAGGCGGTTCTTGTCGCAGGCTAACAGATTACCCAGGTCGAATTCCAGTTCCAGCTCCTTGTCCACGGCGATGCTGCGAAGCTTCTCCGCTTCGTCGCGCTCTGCCTGGGCGAGGAGCTCGTCGACATTACAAGAGGCTGTCGCCATGTTGGACATGGACGGGAACGACAACTCTGCACCACCTTTGCACGTGTCTGTAGCAAAACACTATCGCTTCCGTGTTGGATCACTTCCGGGTTAAACTTGTACTTCCGCAGTTTACACGCAAAGAGAAAATACATTTACCCTGTGGTAAACGACAATCTTTAGTCAGAGAATCGCATACAATAAGATACTTTACAGAATCACATGTATAGTAATTATTCACTGTGTATGTGTGTGTATATACTATATACACACACACACAGTGATTAATTAATTTAGATAAAGTTGTAAATGTTAAAGAGACACAAACACGTCGAATAGTTTGTTGTCCCCCCATGTATTTATTTAATTTTTAAAATTTTTGGAATAGATTGTCCGTCCGTCCGTGCTGGAGCCTATTCCAACTGACTTCGGGCAGTTGGCGGGGTACACCCTGAACTCAGTGGCGTAGCCGGGCTGTATTTCTCATATCCCCTGATATATGATAATAATAAAAAATAATAATAATTTGACCACAAGAGGGGCCATGGTTTTACAAAACCCACCAACCAGTATTTAATAAATTAAATACTCCAAATTTTCAAGTATTTCAACGCAATATTTTTCTTTGAAGTTATTTAAAAATAAAATGCAATAAAGTAATTACAATATAGTATTCCATCCATATTTATAGAGGGGTTTTTTTTTTTTGTATTTTGTTGTTTTCATAATGATGAGTGGGTTTTACCGGTGATTGCCTAAATGTGATACACAGGCTTGCCAAAGATGGAGTGCAATTCAGTTGTATTTCACTTTAAAATCCAATAAATTTGCACTCAATCTTTAAGAACTGCTCTTCTTTAAATACTTGTTTACTTTTTTCCCAATGCATTTTTAATCTTGATCCTTTTTTAAGAGGTTGTACTTTGTAAGAAGTTTGACAACCACTGGCTTATACAATTCCTATTTCTATTTTAGGACATTCATATGACTGATTAATGTTCCCTCCGAAAATGACAGACTATGATTATAAATGCTTTGTCCCTTTTGTTTTCTCATCGTGCTTGTGTGACTCAGAAGTGGCTTTGCTAAACTTTGGAATAGGATTAATGTCAGCATTTCCACTGAGAATAAATCTACTGATGTATATGTGAATAAAAATACACGAACCATCAGTTCAAGGCTTTTATTTTGGTCTTTTTCTGCACTAATTTGTAGGAGGATGAGGGTGTCTGATGGCAGCACATTGATGTTTCTATTTGAGGGGGGGCAGAGATAATTACATTGGTTGGCCATAACGCATCGCCTGAATACTAACGCGCTTGACAGGCAAGCGGATAAGGTCACAAGCGAGTGGAGGGCAGTTAATTGGTGGCCCTAAGTCCCTTGTGGGATTTAAAAAGACACCTTACGTCTCTAGTGACGAGGATGTATGGCGTGTGCAAGGCAAATGCTGAGCAAAGTATCATTTTAACATTCATAATTTAAGGCAATTAGCATCAAGTTAGCAATACACATCGTCCTGTATGTTTCTTGTGTCATAATCACATGACAAATCAGAAATGTCTCAATCCACTTGTCACTCTGTTGGGGGTCGAAGAAAAAAAAAAAAAGGAATCCAAAGATAAAGCAAAAGGCAAGCACTTCATCCCAAACAGGCATGTTTGGGATGAAGGCACCAAACAGGATTACTTTTCCACACGGTTTCTTTTATAGAACACAGGGCATACGTCATTTTTGCAGTTTTTCCTCCAGGATGTATTGAAGCTTTTCATCAAATGGAAATCCTCACACAGGTTTCTCTCCGTAGTGTCTTTGAACGTTTCCAGTGAGCTCTTGGTAAGAATCAAAGCCGTTTGACGGCAATGATACACCTTCAATCGGCCTCTTACAAATTTGAGAGGACTTTTTTTTTTTTTTAAACCTGCAGTCATGCTCCAAATGTGTCAGATTGCCAAGCTTTCTCCTGTGAATAGGCCAACACCTCATGATGTTTCTTTTAATTTGAAAAACTCTCCCGGCGTCGCTATTTCTTTAATCTGAAACTTTCTATCCGAAAAAAAACCCCATAATAAAACTCAAGGGATGGTTGTGCTATCCCAAGTGCAAATTTAACTTAATACATTTATTTTTCAAAAAATTTCCAGTGAATTATTACTCATTTAACATAATACTCATCTTTATTCTTTACTTTTTTGGATTCAATTTAGATTTCATGTAGTTGAATACAGGATTTAATTTAAAGTCTTTTTATAACTTTTCAATTCTCATTTTCTGTTGTAACACACGTGCTGAATTTCTAATTTAACTTAACACATTATCGCTTAACAGCCACAAAGCTTTGCCGGAATAAATTCATTTTAGCATAATGCTAACAGGGCGGCACGGTGGACGACTGGTTAGCATGTCTGTCTCACAGTACAAAGGTGCAGGGTACGATTCTGGCCCCTTTGTGGAGTTTGCATATTCTCTCCGTGCCTACGTGGGTTTTCTTCATGTACTCGGGTTTCCTCCAACATTCCAAAAACATAAATGGCTGGTTGGTTGGGAACTCCAAATTGTCCCTAGTTGTGATTGTGAGCGCAGATGGTTGTTTGTCTGTGTGCCTTGTGATTGGCTGGCAACCAGTTCAGGCTGTAACCCGCCTACTGCCCGCAGACAGCTGGGATAAGCTCCCGCATGCCCACGACCCGTGTGAGGATAGGCGGATTAGAAAATGGATGGATGGATAATGCTAACAAGCAATCCAAAACACCATCGATGGGATCGCAGGTAGAATCGTTGTTGTCGTGTTGTAACCCTTAAGCAACGGATATTTGAACGAAAAAGGATGAGCAGCACGTACAATATAACGATGCTCACGGCATATATTCTTGATCCTCTGCGATGAATGAGGACATGGTTGTATCATACTGCCCCCAATTTGCCATGGAGCACCCACCAGAAGGAGCGGCCCAATGTCCAACTGCACTTAACAAATGTACTGCACCAGAGGAAAACGAAAATCTTCACGCCACCTTAACGTTACGCACAGTTTGATTATTTAATCAAGTGATACTTGGCATACCAGTCGGGCAATATCGTTGTTGTCGTGTTGTAACCCTTAAGCAACGGATATTTGAACGAAAAAGGATGAGCAGCTCGTACAATATAATGATGCTCACCGGCATATATTCTTGATCCTCTGCGATGAATGAGTACATGGTTGTAGTATACTGCCCCCAATTTGCCATGGCGCACCCACCAGAAGGAGCGGCCCAATGTCCAACTGCACTTAATAAATGTACTGCACCAGAGTAAAACGAAAATGTTGACGCCACCTTAACGTTACGCACGGTTTGATTATTTAATCAAGTGATACTTGGCATACCACGCGCTAGCGGGACTCTGTACCACACTTTGAGAAGCTTGAACGATTCCCTGGCTGCACAGCGAACATCAGTATGTACCGTAGCACACTTTCCACTCGCATGATGTCCGTGGTAGGGAGGGAGCGCGGGCGGATTGCGTTTGTCCAAGTCACCTCTAAACTGCGCTTGCACAACAAATAATTTTCACCTAGCTGCTCGGGGCTTAGGCACTTTTCGTGTAATGCGCACAGACACCAATTCCTCCTGGGAAAGGGCCTGTTGGTCACAGGAAGGAAGAATTTAGAATTTAGCTGTATTTTGTTGAGTTTAGTTAGAAACGTAGCAAGGTGTTTTGCAATTATGTTTACATTTTATGACCAAAATGTTGCCGTCGTTTTCATTGATTGATTTATTGATTTAATTTGAGTTATAGTTTTCTTATTAGTAATATTTTTAGTGTTAATTTTAATTCTCATCATTTAAATTTTTTTTTATTTTAATTGTTAATTTTAGATTCTATTTTAGCTTATTTATTTTTTTGAAAATGGTTTTCTATTATATTATGTGCATTATTTATTATTCGACGTTTTTTTTGTTTGTATTTTATAATGACCTTGTTTGTTATTCATTTACTTGGGTCATTTGTTTTTTTTTTAATTGACTCCATTACTTCTTAGACTTTTTAATTTTAATTCGAGTCATTTAAATGTTTTTTAATTTATTGTTAATTTTAGATTGTATTTTAGCTTTTTATTTATTTTTTTTGAAAATGGTTTTCCATTATTACATTATTTTATGTGCATTCTTTATTATTCGAGGTTTTTTTGTTTTTGTTTTTTATAGTGACCTCCTTTGTTATTCATTCACTTGGGTCATTTGTTTTTTTTTTTTTTTTTAATTGACTCCATTACTTCTTAGACTTTTTGTCATTAGCCAGTGAAACTTTTTCAGCGGACCTTGCACAAATGTCAGCTTCCCCGCTAATTATTGATGACTCAGTAGCCACAAACAGCAACTTAAATGGATATTTGTGTGGGTATTTACACTTGAAATCAATCCGAAATACGTGTTCGTCATGGAAGTGCTCGGAACATAAACAGCACTTCACTTATTTTTGACACGAGGGAGTTTAAAAATGGCAAAAATTGTGCATTGCAGTGTAAGTCCAGCCCAACGTGACTCAGTTGGATCCCCTCCCTTGTCCACCTGATCAATGGGCCGATTAAATGGCGGTCACGTCCCCTTTAGCCCGCCGTGATGCAACCGTGGCAAAATGAACGTCGCTTGCACCCAAGCGTCCCCGTCGAGGCCGTTTGACAATTCGCCGAGCGCTGCGTATGATCCCCCCGGAGGGATGATCCCGAGCTATAAATAATATGGATGGTATACGTCTGCGCCGAGGCCCCGGAGCATCGCTGTAATGGCTTTTGATATGGAGATTAAAACCCACCACCTCACCCCTGGAGTTTGAGTGAAACAACTCCTTAGACGAGTTTCACCGCCGACGCATCAGGTAGAGAATACATAAAAACCCCGAGGCGCTCTCGAGTCGAAGTCGCTCAGCTGCTTGACTTTCATTGTATTGAACTTTGGTTTAGAGCAGGGGCGTCAAACTCATTGTTGTCGCGGGCCACTTTGGAGTTACTTCTTCCCTCGGAGGGCCGAATAAATGTTTCATCATCACATCATATTAGTACTTATAAAAAAAGAAAATAAAATAAAAATGATGACTCACTTGTTTTGAAATCAGTCCAGTAT